CAATGAAAGTATTTTCTTTTGAATGGACGTAAGTTTCTACAAAAATGACGACGTATAATTCAGCTGGCCACCCAACAACAATTTCACCAGATACCCTAAGATATAGTTTTATATATTACAATATGGAATACTACTTTGCTAAGTTCTTTAAATTGGTAATTACATTTCATTTGGTAGCTGAAAGGATTCGTCATTGTTAAAAGTGGTAAACTAATGACACTTACAGTGTGGTGGTTGATTTTCATATAGAAATAACTGATTTGATATCAGAGTAGCATTTATTGAATGAAGCACAGTTAATAATTTATAAACTAGATTTTTGACCAACATAAGACTTATTGACTCATTCTATTCATATTCTTAAATGACTAATATCCATTCAGAAATTAGGACGCTCATTGTCCAAGCTTAACACTTTAACCAAGTGAGATGCACTTAAAAGTGTACCTTTGGCTTTGTAGAATTTGATGAAACAAGCAAACTATTTACAAATGCGAAAATAACAATGTGATAGGATAAATACTACTGAGTGTACAATAATGTAAACTGTACACAGCTGTAGGTTATCTGTAGTCTGCATAAGTAAAATTATTTCTGTATTATGACTCGGAAGTACAAAGTACAATCTAACATATAACTGATTTCATTTGAACAAAGTCAGAAGTTCAACTATTTACTTAGCTACAATGTTGGCAATAATTTACTATTTGCATGTATATAAACGGACTCTTACGTGAACATTCAGTTACATTTGGTCTTTTTATTCTAGGCCTTGACAAATGTGATCATTTCAACTGCTATGTTACTGTCCAACATAGTGTTGATCTATCATCACAATAATAGATTACAATCCTGAAAATGAAAATTAATTTCAGTTGGTTATAGTCATTACAAGTATGTCTCAGTAGCATTAAACTTCTGAATAACTAAGATTTTTCATCTTATTAATAGTTCTTTGTGTGAAATAGTTCGTTATTCAATTAATAACTAAAAAATAAGATGAATTTTTGAGACAGTTTATTGATTAAACAGATATATAGATTAAAAAACTCTTCCCATGGAATAAACCAAATATTCATAAAAGAAAAACAACTGGAGATCACCGAGTCACATTGAAAAAATAATAAAGACTGTTTAACGAATAAAAGTTTCTTTTAGACGATATTACTTCACTAAAGCTACACAATCGTATTGATATTTAGAATGGATAAATCTATGATAAAATGGGAGCCAAGCAAATAAATCAAAGTGACAATAGATTACAGATGAATGATAATTGTCAGCTTGAAGTACATTAAAGAACTGTGAATATAGAGTAGGGTTGAGCGATAAATTATTTTGGAATATCACATACAGAAAGGAAGTTGTATTTGATATAGAGAAGAAACACATTGTGCTTAATTTTTAGATGGTTTTCTGCTTGGAATGACTACTGCTCCTGAACCGTTGAAATTTAATATGAATAAGAGAATAATTTACATTGTATATTAAGAATTTTAAAACCTGTAAGAAAATGTTCGTTTTATAGACAAGACATTGCTTAACCTGAAATGAGATCTCACCACTTCGAAATTCTAGTGACAATCAGTAATGAAATTCCTGTTATACTTTTTGTCCCAACAACTTTTGTGGTCATGAAAATGGTTGTATACGTTCCCTAAATTAGGAAGAACCCTGACCCTCGGTAAACGTATTTTAATGGCATAGCATGCATGTATTTGATCTCATTAGTAGTTCGAAAGGAAATCGATAGCCTTCAGGACCTGATATTTTGAATGAATCAATAAACTATTCTCCTTATAAAAATAAAATAAAATCTTATGCTACTAACTTATTTAAAAGTAGACAAAATGTTTGACTGAAATTGAGTCTTGTCGCCTTCAGTAATAAAGGCAGACAAGAATTTCACAGCATTGATCATATCAAATTTTCAGGAAAGCAAGAACTGTACCAAAGAATTCAGTTTGGGATTTCAAAATCTATTCTACAATATTGTAACAGCTAAAGTTGTTTGAAAGTAATTGCGATTAAGGGTGTTGTACATTAGGCAATACAATTAAACTAGTCAAAACTGGTATAGCAGATTAAGATATTAAGTATGGTTATTTATTTTAACACATAAGTATAGGTACAGGGAGGCACCAAATACATATGCGCCACACAAATCTCAATTGATTTGTGTGAGGGCTGTGATACTGCTCGGGTGCCCAAACCGAAGCAGGTGGTTGTCTTAGGGGGCCACACCCCGAGCCTTCGACCTGAACGTCTGACCCACAAGGCAGTGGAGCATCGTGAGGAGATGCAGTCCCATGGAAGCCGGTGACCAAAAGTTGGTTCATACGCCATTTGTTCCTTCAGGATACTGTAGCCCATGTGCACCATTGGTTTGGGGTCCGGTTAAAGTGCCGGACATTCGCTTTTCGTCCTCTCATTTTTGTAAACAACACCCCGCCACGAGAAGGCAGTGAGTAGGACTTCCCTGGTAGAGGCTATATACGCATGGCCATGTGAGAGCATTTCGAGAGGGAGAGCGGACTCTCCCTACTCTCGGCCGTACCAGGGCATTTGGGGGCAAGTATGGTTAACACACTGAAGATATTTCAGCCTATTTTGGTCGACTGACTTATCATTCTTAACTGACTTTAAATCTGCTTTATAGGTTATTATGCCACATAAGGCCATTATTTCGAACGTACTTCGTATTAAACACTTATAATCTTCAAGTATTATCCACGTGTCATGACAAAACAAATGTTCAACTAGTGCACTCATCAGTCAACAAGAATTAGAAATTTTCATGATGGAAAGTCCTAGATGAGCTTCAAGCAGCCATAGTATAATTTTTCAGCCACCAATTGTTTTGAATTTAATAAAACCATCTCCAGTTTCATTACAGAAAACACGTGATTCTTAACTATTAAACTGGGAGGTGTATACAAATAACCTATTAACATTTCTAACCTGAAATTCCTAATATTTGATGAAGGCAGTATACTATAAGGTCCTTAGGATATTAAAACCATGCAGCTTGTGACATACAAAGTAAGGCTAACAATTTGATTGTACGAGAATGAAGAAAATATGAATCATCCGTATCGGTTAAATGACCGTGTAGATGATGACTCAAACAGTTAATCCACACGTACACAGTCCAGAGACCAATGAGTTTTAAGTCAATACTGTCAAGTAATGTCGTTTACTCAATGTATACCGTAACTTTAGTGGCGATATATGGACTTGCTCATTTTTTTATTATATCTGTAACTTATTGTGTCTGTCGAGAGCTTAAGTGACTAGTGTTTGATACTGAAACCCACAATTTACAGTTGCGTAGTGAGAATATAAAAACTGCTAATATCGATTTATTAAACTACTGAAACAAGTCAAACTCACATATCAATACATCACATTTTACATGATTTATTTACAATCAGATTTGTATAAATCCACCTGAGTGTTATTTAACATCGATTAACCAATAACTTCCTGTATGAACACATAATTACCATACTCATACGATTGAACATCTGTTACTAACAGATATAATGACTTGACTAAGCTATGTAATTACTTCTTTTCCAGATGTGATTACATTTCACGAACGATTAGAGGAAAATCGATTTCATACGTTAATTGTACATCAATCGACTCGGTGACCGCTCACTATATAAATACAAGTTGGATGTTATACGAAGGAGAATAGAACTATCATATCGGTGGGTTTTTTAATTTTAAAAAGTTGCTGACTTCAACTTACATTGTATTCGTCAACGTTTCTTTAATGAAATCAATTACCTTAACAATCGCGTCATTGGTTATTATCGTTTTAATAGGGATAAAAAGTAGAGAACATTTCGCGAAATCATCTCTATTAATTATGAACAATAATAATTTAGCGAGTTCTGGTTGGATGGTTTTGATTGTGGTCACTGATACAAGAATTATGCTCCAGATAAGCGATGCAAATTTATGTATATATGAAATGCAAGGGATTATTCTAAACTTTAAAGTCACACATCCCTAGGTGGATGTTGAAAATGATCCGCAATACTTCTCCCTCTCCACTGTTAATAGAATCAAACAGACCAATGGTTTCTTGAATGCACTTGGTTCACATGGAACGTACAAAACCAACAACAGAAATTCACTTATTTATTAAATTGTGGCTTTGAATATGATAGGAGTTATGCATGAAGTAACTAATGTAATCCATACCCTTCATCAAATAAACTCATTCGTAACATTTGATCTTATCGAACAGCTGACTCTGTAATAATACTTGATAAACCAGAATGCTACTTTACGTAAATGACAAGTTCTAGAACATTTTTATTGACTGAAGATTTGCAGCACATGCGTATTTTCGTGACGCTGTTGAGGTTTTTGAGCTAGATGTCTTAACTGAGGAACTTTTGTCGCTCTGAACACCAGCACCTGTTTTGTGACAAAATGATTTATTCGATAAATCAGTTACCTGAAAACCATCGATTGTCAAGAACCTTCACAGAACAACACTTATGCATGCATTCAGGGTGTTCAACGAATATTACATTTCTCTCGATTTAAACATGTTATGAGAAGTTTGTTATTCACGCTGTATTATGTAAGTTAATCAAGTGCATTATTTTAAACCGTTTCGTATTTTAAGAGAGAGCAAACTGAAAATGTGACACATAACTTAAGCTTGATCCTTTCAACTGAAATTTGCATAGAACTTCAGCACATTATTTAGGGAAATTAAAACAATCTCAGAAAAAAAGATTTATATTAGACTAAGTTACAAAAAAGGGAGTGAATAAAAGAACCAAAACAGAGTAGCAACTATTACAAAAACGTAGTGCTTAGCACACTCATGAGTAAAAAGTAATGAAGGTTATTAAAAGATTTCATCCAGTTCAGCTTACAACAAAACAATTAGGGTAGGAATAAGCGAATACAGAGAGAAATAAACTGAGTTCCCTGTAGACAAAAGAATGAAAAAAAATTTTAAAGCAAGTAAATTAGTGACTATTCACCAATGTATTATTAACTGGTGAATGAGAACGTATTACATTTTCATTGGAATTCTCATCATCTTGATGTTTTGTAGTGTTGTCGCTCGGGGTTCGAGAATTATTAACTGGCCAGTTCTTTTGACAGCTACTAACCTATAAAACAGAAATGTGAAACCAATAGAAAGATAGGGATTGCAAAATAAACCAGTGGTAATATACTACTTAGAATAGTAATATACATAAATTATGTTACAAGATACACACCCCCCATCGCTTCGGGTCACAATAGGCACCGATATTTCCAAAAATAATTAAAGAATCCTAGTCAATTCATGCTCTCCAATCAAAAGGTGGGATTCAATGCATAAAGCCGATTATTTATTTTAAAGTTTGAGGAAGTTGGAAAGATAGTGCTTTATTAGTGATTCGGCTTACGATAATTTTTCTAGTTTAACTTGCGAATTAACACGTGGTAAGTGGTAATAATGACAATGAACTTTGTCATTTTATGTAAGCAACATCCTTAAATTTTCTATAAATTTAAAGGATGGCTCCGAAAAGAAAAGTGAGAGGAACTCGCTTAACTGAAGGAAATCTTTCAGATGGTATTTCGGCAAGACGATAATTTATGGACGACCTTAGAGCAACGCCAAAATGACCTTGGAATGTCCACCTACTTAATAGGGTTAAATGAGGCTTATGTATTAGTATGAGGAATTACAGTTGAATGTTAGGGCTAGAAATTAGATTTAATGTTTTCATCGCTATTATGACAAAATGGTATTTAGCCAAGTGAGTGAATGAATTTCACGTCGAAATCCAATATCAGCTATCTCAAATCTAATTTGTTTATAAATTATAGTTTTGCCGGTATTCCACTATATACTACAGTCGCTCACTTATTCTGATTGATTTATTCAACTGTTTAAGACTTCATTTATCTGTGTGTACAAGTACAAACAAATAAGTATTCGAATTTATAGTGAATTTTATTGACAGTATGATCACACTGGATTAATCATATTATTATAATAATAACTGATCCTAGAACCGTAAAAGTCATGTAAATCAGATTAACAATTGAGGTTGTCAATGGTCTTATTTCCTTACCTATGGATAAAAAATGACAAGAAAATTAATATTTTTTTGGATTCGAAGAGGAAACGACAGAGATATATAAATTAAACTGGTAACCATTGACCAAGTCACTCACTTTAAATACAACAAAACAACCAGAAAATATAAAACTTAATTTATTAACGCATACTACTGAATAGTTTCCTTTTAAACTACATTCATCCCACATTAAAGTACATGATATTGATAATCAAAAGGGTTAAACTGAACGTACTCTTTCTCCCATTGTAACAGCCATACCCTGTGTTTTAGCCCGGATTCGCACATGACCAGTTACAGGTTGATCAGCTTCCGCTTTTTCCAAACATAAATTAGCTAAAACATGTTCGCCAAATATTGTCTTGGCATAAAGCGTCACGCAAAGATAATCACAATCACCTGAAAGAGCCTCGGTAGGTGTTAGGCAACGTAAATTCGTATGCCTTGTAATTTGAGACAAATAGGTGAACAGATCTTTGATTTGTGTATTCACAGTAACCTAAAATGATCACAAAGAGCCTAAATAAGTAATTGAGCATAAATTTATATGAAACGAAACAAGCTACAATATGAATCGATTGAATATGACTCAAAAGAATAAGTTGATACATTCATTCAACGTTCAAACATTTAGTTATGAATTTGATGCTCACCTTATTCTCCCATTCAAATTCAGACCACATTTGACGAAATTCACTTGGTGTACAAGTGGCTGGCATAATGTACTCCATAATATCAATATGAATATCATTTAACACAATGCAAGTTGTCTCGCCAGATGAACCCCGAACATCGTAGGATATATTTCCAAAGATGATACCATTTTCTGTGGAAGAAACCTGAAAACATACATAAAATTCAATTAATTTAATTAGATTGAAATGTAAATTAATAAGATAGTGAATTTGATATTCAATTGTGCACATTGTAAATAAGTAATAGAATAAATAAATATGTAATATAATCAATACACAAAATGTCTACAACTTACGAAACATAACTGTAAGTCATAATATTACTATAGAGCTTTTTTTTATTTCACTGATGGGCTTTATCACCGAAACCCAAAACTTTCCTTTTTTAGATACCCGTTAAAAAGCAGGAAGATAGAAAAATCCATTGTGATAATTTCTTGTATTTTTCAGTAATTTTATGATATCTTTAATACAATATTTAATAAAAATTATGCATAGTATGGAATACAAACTAACTTTAATATTTGCTTTGATATTAGCAAAATCTTGAGGTGCAATTGTTAATGGACTGGGTTTTTCAACCAGACGTAAATCACCTAATGTAGACAGTTCTAATGTTAAATTTTGCAGTGTATCTTTAGTTTGATTAACAACTAATACATCTAACAAAATATCGAATTGATTCACATGAACATACGCTTCTGCGTATACAGGATCAGAAAAGCCAGTTAATTGGTGAACCTAAAAATTTTTGAAAAGAAAATAACTGATTCACTGAAGAAATTTATAGCTTTGATAACAACATAGAGTAATAATAATAATAATAATAATAATAATAATAATAATAATAGTATTATCAGTATATAACTGAACTCAGATATAAGTTTTATGAAATCGGTCTTCAGTTATATTTTGTTTGTGAACCAGTAATATTATTCAGGTGTCTAAACTGTAGTAGACAGAGAGGGTTTCAAATCCGTAACCGAATGAAGTTGTGAACTTAGTGGATAGAAAGCTGAATAACTTGTATGTCTAATATTTTCTTGCAAATGAAAAAATTTTCCAGATTCAAATCAGCTATCACAGCAACATGATCAATGGTTGTAATCTAGGTAGTAAGTACTTGGAAGAATTTACTGGGTGGTATTGTACACAATCAATCACAGTGGCGCAGATGGATTTACTTTTTATTTTCTTTTGGATCTTCAGTTGAAGTATTCCCTCATACATATATATTCCTTTATTTTTCTTACAATGTTTATTCATTCTCACTATTATGGTTGATTCGATTATCTCGACTGCTGTTATTCATTTCATAGATCTCATTTTGTTTAGGTGATTTAGTATGCACATCTCGCATATTTCTACCAAGCTATACACTGTTTATTACTGATTAACCTGGATATTATAAGAAATTCATCACATGAAGTTTGGTTTATATGATCACTTGATAGGAGTAAAAGTTGGTTTGGAAACAATTATGTAAGACCATATGTATTTTAAAAATTTCTGTAACTTGGCCACCGAGTACAAATACATGGACGTAACCCTGACTTACACTATTATGTGAGTACTAGTGACATTAACCAGCCATCCACACCAAAGTGGGTAAAAAGGTTTGAACCTGGGATCTAGTACATAAAGGGAGAGTGATTTAACCAATGAGCGATTGCCCTTGTTTAGTTTGTAAATATGAAGGAGTCCTAATTAAATCAACCATTTCCAATAATATCAAGATGTGAGTACCTAAAAACAGCCATGTTCTTACAAATAACATTTGTTTACCTTACCTTACTGAGTTTAGATGTAGCATAAGCATCACCAGCACTGCCTTTTCCACCTGCACCCAGTGCTTGACTAAGTGTCAAGTCAAAACGATCTACTGTGTCACCGAACTCAGTTTGGCCAGTAAGTAGAGAGAATTTGATTGGCGCGTCCGCACGATTCAACTCAGCCAATTGTTTTTGATGCTCAATTAAGCCTTGATTACGAGCTTTAGCATTGTTTTTACGTTCCGACTCTTGGTATGCAAGCATTTCAGTAAGACAGCCACGAGATGTATGTTCGAAAGCCTCTAAAACTTCAGGACGACGATCAGCCAAGATCTGTACAAATGAAAAAGTAGAGCTGAAAATGACTTCATTACGTAACATTAACCATAGAGAATCCCAGAAGACATAGAACTAACACTAAATATGTTTTCCACTTCCTACTACTCCTTATCGTTTATTTAGTCCGAGAAGAATAGTCAACAGATAAGATTCTGAGCCACTAAGTCCAGTGAGTTGCCTGGACAGATCTGGGGTTTTGAAGTACTATGAGAAGTTAACTTAACACACCTAGCTTCTACTCAAATGTAAAATTTTCAGGAAACGCGTTATCAAACCTCAGTATTACTAGCACCCTATAAAACTATCAAGTAGAGAATATTTCATTGAAACTTTATATTGCTTACATAATGCTTTAAATGTCTGGACTGTACTGAGCTTTACTGGCCGCCTGTTCATGTAAAGAAATCAATAATGGGAACAAAGTTGGTCATTATAACCATAGAGAGGTATTCATCTTAAAAAGATAATTTATTTGATATTACTAGAGCTGAAAGGTAGTGCAAATTGAATTTGAATCTCATGTTGACGGTTGACATTCGCTAAATAAATGTTATGTAAAAATCGAACAATTGATTTATAAGGAGAGAAATTTCGGTCACCGATTTTGCCTAACTATAACTACCGCTATTATATTATACAATAATCATCATAGAAGACGATTTACCATCATGCATCAGTAAAACAAGTAGACAAAAATCAAAACAAAATCTTTATGAAATCAAAGATTACCCTACCTTTAGACAAATCCACATGCGATCTAAGTGGTCAGGATTTACTTGATGTGGAAGTAGTTGACTAGTAGCCAAATGTATCATACTAGCAATAATAAGCATGCATTCAGCAGCGAATGAATTTTCTTTTGACATTATTTTGGTTTTTGTGCCTTCATCTTTAACCGTTTTCATTTGTTCTTGTTTAAGAATCAATGAATATCGATAAAATAATTTCACTAAACAGGCAGATAATACAACTCCAGGCATATAATGTGATTCGAAAAGAGCTGCCTGTAGGACAGGTCGTTTGATTGCATTCACTGAACTAGAATCTTTATTTGAACCTTAAATAATTTCAAAAAGGAAACGGGAACAGCTAATCAGTAGGTAATCACTTTTAACATGAATACATTTTCTGTTTCATAGAACAAATATTTTAAACAATTCGAGGATAATGTTTTTAAACACGCGTTCATAAGAGTAAAACATTACACGCCAAAACGTGTGATAGTTTAAATTATAAGCCTTCTGTCTAACTGAGCAATCCTAATTTCGGAACAGTGGTTTCGTGATCAAAGAACTCAGCATTCAACAAACAGGTCATGCTTCCATTTTGTTATTTTCATCTTATCTTGCTAATGAGGTATGGTATCTTAAGCTAACCCATGTCTGTACCAGACTCCAAGTTGATGATGCCTGTCTGGTTGAAGTTCTAACACCGTTTCATCTACTTCGATTCGGAGATCCACGTATTATCACTACCTTGTACACGAAGTACTTTTAAAAAACGAGTTAATAAACATGTTCTTGGTAAATGAGCTACACTAATATTAAGTATTGCTTAATATGCAACAAATTCCGCTGTTAATATAACTAATATGATCATCTAGTTGGCCTTTGTAGGATGGACAAGCAGTTTAGTTTTGATAGTTGAACAGATAAAGAAACAAGTATTTGCATGGGATTTCTTATATGGTATATGTTGTCAACATAGTGCATATTACGCTTATTTGTAAACTGCTCAGTGATGTCGATCAAATACATATGAACTGATGTTTATGTCTAGTTATATATTTTTAGTGTACATCAACTGTATTGAAGCCCTGTTGTATCAGTTGCACCAGTCGGATCTGTTAGTTTTCCTTTCCTCAGAATTTTGTACGGTGTCTTCTTGTGTTCTGGGTATATGAGCCACTACGAACACAATAACATGGCGAAGATAGTCTTGGCTGAGTAAGTGAATACTTAGCTAATGATTTTGACGATAGACGATGACATATCACATACCATCTTTAGCGAAACTTTGAAATAAAAAAACTTCAGAAGTTCGGGGTTTTGATTACAGCCAATGACGTCTGAAACTTGAAAACATATCTAAATACATTATATTCTAAAACCAAATATATTGATTTACGTAACCTACGAAGAGTGAGAGCAGACTGAGTTGCGTATGTCCCATCTGCAGTAACACGTTGTGCTGGATTGACACCAACATTTACATCACCTGAAATTAGTACGGACGGCTGACTTTGGTTTTCAGCAGACGAATCTACTGAATTCACTTGACTGGCTTGTCTGCGTAACTCCTCATCAACAAGTGGTAGCTCGCCGATAACCTTGATAAAATGATGGCCAAAAAGTGAATATAGAATTTAGTAGGAATAACTATATATTTAGAGATCATATGATATATATATATATATATATATATATATATATATATATATATATATATACCATAAATTCTAATTTATATAGATGTTATCTGAGCTTGAAATTTCGATCGTGACTCTTCGTTGTGTTTATGCTTAATAATATTGGGACAAACTCCCAAGGAAAGTGAGCAGTCAATATTTCGCTACATATGTTAAAGTGTTAGCAGTTTGTCCCAGTGGTCTGGGATATGAATGGTCTTTGTAATGGAGCAATTTGTCTAATGTAATGGTTTCAGTAGCAGTTCCCATTCTGTTCTATCATCTTGAAACCTAACAAATCATTTTCAACTTCGACCGACCTCATAAGGGCCATATGAGTAGGATCTCGTTTTTTTTCATTTGAAGTACCGTAGCACACTGTATGTTGTGTATATTCTATTAGTAAGATTTTGTTTAATAGTTTCACTTCCTCATGTTTATTGTATTTTGACTATGAATCTTATTTATTTCACCCCACATAACTAGTATTCTGAATCCCCTTGAGATATTGAATAAATGTTTTGTCCAAAATCCTACCCCTTCTAAAGCTGCGTATGCAAAGCAAATTTATCATCCACAAAGTTTACATGCTAATTTGGATCGGACAACAAGCAGATTTCGGTCACTAAACTGGAAAGCAGTACTAATGATAAAGTCGGCTTGAGACTTTTCACCGTGTTGCAAATAATTTTTTGATATGTCAATTCAAAACGTATACATCATATAAATTTTCAAGAGGATGTTGTACGGAAGGAAGTAACTGAGAAGAAAATAGGTAACATTTGCAGCTTGTAACTATGCTGTTTCCAATAATCGCAACCGGATTTCAACTACAGATAAATTCTGCAAACTATTGAATAGCGTTGCTGTGATATGCGGACCCGAAATGTGGCAGTCAAGCATTTATATACAACCACATGAAACCTTTTAGTCGCCCATTCAATAACAATAATAATTCATCCCAATTATGAGCAGATTACAAACTGTTTTTAATCGGTATAACCTTTTGACAGATACTACCTAGCGTCGATACCCAATCTTTTCTAGATAATCAAATTCCATTACTTCAAAATGCTACTGTATTCAGTTACTTACGATGTAAACAGAACAATATTTTTTTATGGCGCGTAGCTGGATTCTTATCATATTTTATTCAAAGCCAAACGATCATTTAGCGTTTCACTAGTTTGAAAATTACTACTCTACATCGGTAGACTAACTAGCTTATGCAAATGTTAAATGAACAAGACTTTGGGTTAGCTATCGATCCACTGACTAGTACAAAAAAGTCAACTGTACTTAATTAGTGTCGAGGATAAACGATTTAATTCGTTTAAAGCTTTTTAGAGTGTTCCGAATAAAATATGCTATGTATCTGTGAGTTCCTTGAAATATTTCCAGGTACGTTTGTTTACTTCAACAGATTAAGGGTGTTGCTATCACATGCGGAAAATTCCATAACGTTTATATAAAAACCTTGAAACATAGTCATAGAGTACGGAGAGACCACAGTTGATAAGTATGATAGCAATTAAAAGATTTTCCAGTACACACAATCCATTAGAAAGTATACTGACACAATTATATTTAATTCAATGCAACTCGTTTATCAAGTACGATTTTGGGCTACATTTTGTTTGAGAGTTAGTGAAGCTGTCCAGCTAGGAAAAATCAAATAGAAAGGGTTTTGTGGAGAATTGGTAATTTCAATAGTTGAAATCATGAATCAATTGAAGCTAGACCACCATGGAAAACCTGGAAGCACTGGACAGCCGTTTCGTCCTAGTATGGGACTCCTCAGCAGTGCGCATCCACGATCCCGCACCCCGCGGGATTCGAACCCAGGACCTATCAGTCTCGTGCTAGGCTCTTAACCAACTAGACCACTGAGCCGGCATCCAGCGGTGTTAATGTCAAATAGGCAAGGCCAACTTAGGGACTATTATGTAATAATTGGAAGCTAGGTGCTTTAACCACTAACTCATTAGTACCAGTAAAACAATCGTTGAATAGTACCCTGATCGACGATTTACGAAAACAGCACTCTAAAAACGTTCAATTTAGAATTCGCCTTTAAATCAATATTTAATCCACATGGTCTTTTAATGATAAACCTTCTAACATGGCAGTATGGAAATAAGACTGAATGTTAATTCATAATAAGGCACGAAAACTCAACTGACTTTTTCACGGTTGTTTTCGACGAGGATGATACTGTGATGAAAGAAGTTACTGAAGTTTCAAAAAATAAATGATTTGAGAGCGTTAAACAAGTCGAACTTACCTGTCGAATAAGAGTCATAAAAGAGTTAATTTCTTCATAAGTAGTACAATATTCACCAAAAATCCACACTAAATGTCGAAGAGTTTCACGACCGATAATCGATGGAAATATTTGCATCAATTTTTCCAAAATGTCAGCCTTTCTTTGAGGAAATCGCTCCAAAATTTCACGTAAAAATTTACAAGCCTCATTTGCAGCTCGTGTATCGCCGATTTCTTCGTAGGTCAAAATCTTGAAAGTTACAAATAAACAACAGTTGTTAGACCAAGTAAACTTTTATATAATCAACTAATCCACTGACAAGTTATTTAGAAGATTTTGGTTTGTGTTCATTCATAATAAAACCATAAAACACACTTCATGGGCACATTATCAAAACATAGAAGTCTACTATTCAGAAAAACTTATTTTCTATAAAACATAGTTTTCACTGCCTCTTAAAGTACTTCAACAAATAACTTACAGCATTTAGATAACTTCGTTTATTGCACCCATAAAAATTAGGCAGCCAAACTCAACTGGTTGTACAAAATAGTGTATGAAATTACTTATAAAATGTAATCCCGGATTCGATTAGTAAACTGATAATTTCGGTAAGTAATAATTCGTTATGCATCTCCTTTAATCAGATTAAAAGTAATTTAAACAATCTAAACACTGATGTCCAGCGACCAGTGATTACTCCAGATTGATAGACAATGATTTAGCAACTAGTACAATTAAACTAGGAATTATGCAAGGAGAATATGAAATTTCATTAAACTGAAGAAATACATATAACGTCACAGTAGAATCACATTGCTAGAGTAAATTAGGGACGAAAACAAACAAATCCAACGTGGCATAAGGTGTATATTTTAACACTTAATAGCTCTCTGAGTCGGAATTTCAGTTAAAAAGTCTCGAAGTAACTCAAACGCCAACAATAAATTACATAAAACTACATAAATCTCGTTCATATCCCCTTGTCTGAACATGAAGTGCTAGGTGTTCGGTTGATAACCACTTATGCTAGGTTCTACAAGGTTTGTGACCGACTGATTAACTGGTTGATATGCACCAAAAAGTTGCAGTGATAAAGCTGAAACTGTTACCTATGTGAGCCATTTTAATTCAACATTGATTATTTTATGGACTCCAATTAGGAGATAACGGCAGCCAATGGTTGGAAACAGTGAATGAAGGGTGTGGTAACTTGATCGATACACGTTTATGCTAGGTTTTATGTTGACTGACTGATGTGATAAAGCTCAGAACTAGTCGCAGCAGCGTTGTTGCATTCATCGATTTTGGATACAAAAGCGAATGAACTGAATGGTCGAACTTATATCAAGCAGTTGAATTTAGATAAAAATAAAAACACACTGGGAGAAAATAACTAACCATTTTACTCATTCAAATTATACTTACTTCACAAACTGTCGGTACAATGCTTGGTAATACTTCTGGAAACCGTAAGCAAATATCATATATAGTATGGACTAGTGAAAAACGGTAAACGGATTCGTCAGAATTTTGATCATCTCCAGAAGACTTCTCTCCATCACTAGCTGAAGCTGAAGGTCGGGTATTCGTGCTGCAAGCTTTGATAAGTTCTTTACGAAATATTTTAATCAATTCTTCCGCTGTACGAGCTGTCACTAAATCCATCGTCAAATTAAGTGTTTTCTGACGAACTTCCATGTCAGATGCATCTATAATAAAGAAAGAATATATCAGATGCAAAAACAACACTTACTTATGATCTGCACGATATCCATGATTAGGTCTTGTAAAATACGCTCATGATACTGACGTAAATCAGTGAGACGTGACAATACAATTAGTTTTACATTGTTATCACTTTCTTTCAGGATTAAATTAATGTAACAACTTGCGGCTGCCTTAATGGCACTCGGGGCGGAACTTAGTGTTGTCAGCGTTCCTGCAGCTTCATAGCGCACAGCAGCACTACTAGATTGTAATAAGCTGTAAATACAACGAATAAATCGTAGCCTTTCAGAAGGTTTAGCAAGACATACCTAGAGAATAAAAAGAACTATGTATATGTGGACTTACTTTGTAGATTAACTCTACCACTATGAGCTGAAGAATATCACCGAAATTTTGTACTTCATCCAAACAAGAAGTAAGGTAATCAAGAGCAGTACTCTGACTGACATGAAGTAACATCATAAAAGCATTCCTTTTGCAAGAAGAATCTTGCTCTTGTTCGAGGAATCTTAAAATTTTTTCAGGTGCATCCGGAATAAGAGATTCGAAGTTTTTGTATATCGTAAAAATTGCCAGCACTGCATTTCGTCGAACATATGCATGTCGATGTTCCAGACACTGTTGAATAGATGGCATAATAGGCTCCAGTAATTCAGGTTCTTTTAATTTACACAGAAATCGTAAAGTTGATCCACGGATGAATTCATTAGGATGTTGTAAATCTTTGCGATAAGCATCACACACTAGTATCATTTCATGTAGAAGTTTTCCATCTGAACTGTACTTAGGCACGACTTCCCAGAATAGAAGCAACAGCTTTTTAATCATGTGATCCTGTGACGGCATAACAAAGCGAATCACAGTCATCAATAAATTGGGAAACTTTTCGCCATTAATAATTAGCCGAATAAGTTCCTTAAGTGCCTCTCTTTTCACATTATCATTGCTGTTCTGCAAATCGTCTTTGAGTTTTTGCTCAGTATATGTCTTTGCTTCAGATGACAAACCAACTAAAGTATAGCATATTTGATCACTAGCCATACTCCTTGGACCAGCCTTTTAAATAAATAAATAAAATGTTTAATATCGCATAAAAACATTAGAAACGTTTTCTTTACAACATCTACATAAAGTAACTGGCTGACAATACATAGCCGGACAGAAAGTTCTATAACCAAAGGGATAAAAAAAAGTTTATGGGAGGCGTCAAACCCACAGATATATATAGATGCATACAGAGACAGGGTTTAAAGAAAACAGACGGAAATAATTTTGCTGAGCACAATAAAAGGATGCACTCTTAATCGGCGAGTAGCTAAGTAAACAGAAGCATTAACACAGAAAATTTAGGCTGATACTTCAAGACATGCTTAAGCCAAGACCTGAGATGAAAGCATATGTAAGAAAACATTATTTAATTTACATGTTTACGACGATACTGTAACCGTATTCGCCTTATATCAAGTCCCTTTACCATAATATGCGATTTGGTCAGGTTGGGACTTGACTTAAATTTTATAGTGGTTGGAATAATGAATTAGTAGTTCGGTTGTTATAATAACTTGTATGATGATAAAGCTGTAAGATGTTTGTTTAATAATATGATTAGCGATGAGATATATAACATCTTATTACCAAATAAACTATATCGTTTATAAAACTATCTACTATGGAGTACAAGCAAGCGAATAAATTTCCTGAACTTTCGGCTTTTTAAAATGCGTCTTTCTTGATTTTGCTCATAATGTTGCTCCAGTTATTGTTTTTCTGACTTTCCGATGCTTCACAGAATGAAAAATCTGTACTAACTGGTGAGTCGACTTGCAACTGTAATTATAAGGCGTACGTTTTGTGCGCGTGAAGTGAGATGCCACAAATCGGTGCACATTAAAATCATCTTACTATATGCAGCTAAGAAACTTGTTGAAATCCAGTAGTCTTGAATACATATTTTTTCAGTCTTGGAATAAAACTCTGGATGCTAAATTCACTCCACTAACAACGCTACTACATAGTTTCGATTTTTTTCATTAATAATCTTTATATTTCATCTCACCCTACTTATGAATACATCATTTTACACTTTTGTGATAATGCTTATTATGTATTCATGCCAATAACTAAAAACAAGTAAGAAACTCAACGAAACCGGAAGTTATAAAAATACTGTCCATCTATTGCTAGAAACCACCTAGTCTGGATTTATACTCGACATTTTACGAAGTACGTACAAACGTCATTGAAAATAATAACAATATGGTTACAAAGTAATGAATTTTAGATCAAAGTAATAAGCAGCTTGGATTATACCATTTCGGTTTGGGAAGTGGCTATTTTGATGTACAAATGATATATTACCGCTCAAAATTACATGACAAACACACCTTCACACGTCGATGACGTAACGTGAATATTAGACTACGCGCAACTTTTGGTTGAGATGGCACTCCTATCACTGGAGTTTCACAATATAACAATTACTATACACATCAAGCGAAAGAGGCAAGGAGCTTAAAGAGATATTCCTGACAAGTTTATTTCGTAAATAGTTTTTAATGTCATTTGTATTTATTCTGTCAATTTCCACTGCATGTACATTTATCATTAAATAATTGTACCTGTTGTTTAAGTGTATGACCTTGAACACTTTTTCCGTTGTTATTCTAACATAGAGTGACACTATTGTGGTTGTTACCAAATACACTACTTCGCACATACCTCTCATTCTACATTCACTCGCATTTGCATTAACCGAAGTCTGAATCAAATACAATTTACCTTTACAGACTGTAATTGGAATACACCATATATATTGCTGGATCATATCATTGGGGAGTCCATCAAACTTACTGGAATTATTAACTATCTATAATTGTGGATATTTAATACCAGATCAATTTGGAACACGCACTCTACTGGTAAACTAAGTAACGTTCCTTATTTCTATTGTCTTTGTAACATTTGACATATATATATTATTATTATTTGTTATTAATAACTCTGTTATTATCTTTTAGGTTATTATATTGTCTGGTCCACCACAAGCTAAAAAGCGTAGTTGAAAGACCTTATATTAACCTAATATAAGTTAATTAAGAAGTATGGTATTTAATACAGACATGTTAAATGAACATAACCCTATATTTGGTTCGGAGTATGACTGTGAGTTTCAAGTGCAGTGGTGCAATGCTCAGCTGTGTGATTAATTCGAGTTCCATTTCATGAGAATTCCTGTAATGCTTGTTTATTCGGTAGTCTGGTTATTTGTTTGTTTGCCTGTCGATCGTATTCTGTTACTATATAGGTCTATCAATGCTTGAGACACATCGATACTGTTAATGATGCCACAAGTATTCATAGTTTGACAAAACGTTGACCAGCAATAACTTTTATAGACGAAATGTCCCAATCCAGTGAATTCGGAAGTCAGAAGCGAAAAGATTCGAAGATATGTTTGATAGAATATCAATATATCGAGAAGTGATCAATCCAAGCTGGCTAGCGGTTGTAGGTAAAGTGAAGCATGGAGTACCCACTCATGATCTGGTGCGGATGCGTGACCGAGCGCCTTCAGATAGGTAAGTTCATTGAAACTGACGCAGTCAGCATCAGATGTTGAAAACATACAGACTCATTGATTTGGGGATTTGTTTATTGCTGCAGTCTGGTCAGTTGCTTTCATTTCAATACAGTGCAGATTATACAAGTCCAGGGCATTCCCGGGTTTATTGTACCACATTACGGATGATGGTTTTTCTGTTCTCAGTGTTATTCCATTTTAATACAACAGCTAGTGATTTTGTGCCAGTCTCAGTATAACTCCAGTTCAATTACAAAGAGATCTACTTCATGTGTCAACCCAACGATACAATTATTCGGTCTATTTATATTTATTCTGTCCAATTATGACTAAATTGTATAATAATATATTCAATTAGTTAACTATAAATCAACTGCTGTTTTATTCTATTTCTTTCTTAAAAGATTTGTCCTTGGCCATCGATTTAAAAAACTAATATGACGAACAGACGGTCAGGCTGTAAACGGTTCAAATGGTTCTGAAAGGAATAAAAGAAGCTTTCACTTGACGGCCTTCCATATCTAGTATTGGTGAATCAACGATTCCTCCAGGTAAAAACCCAGGTATGTTGACGATAAAACATGAAAAAGAAAAAAGTTGGTAAATCATAGTAAGATACTGTCTTGGTACTTAAGAATATGTCAAGTCCCACCTCTGTGATATGAATCATTATATTTCAGACATGCTCTGTTTATACACTAATCAGACAGACTACATCGTACCATAAAATAGAAAGTAAAATTTGTATACGATTTGACCCTCAGGAAATGACACAAATAAACATTGACCAACGGGAAAATAATACGTTGAAAGAATATTAGGGAAATGACACCATTTCTCATTCAGGAATAGCATTAGATAATTTCTGGGGTATTTTCTGAATACCCCAACAGGCAAACAAAGGCGCGTTGTGAGAAAAAGAAGAGGGTCCTCGACAACGTTAGTATCAATAGGGCATGTAATAACACTAGTGAGAACATGCTGTACCTCAGCGCTATCATAATATCAGCGGTACTAGACTTCTTCAGCAAGCTTCCAGCACGGGTTCCTTTAGTGCAAAGGTGGTTTCCAGAAACTCTGCAGGTTATTGGGCCTCCGTCAACAAGGTTAAAAAAGAGCGGTTGTGACCGTCCAAGAAGCAGAACCTCCTAGGTATTGCGGTGAAATAAACCGGTGATTCAACCGTTCAGTCTACTCCGAATTCTGTCCAAACAGTCAGCAGAAAGCAAAGGAATAGGAAACGCACTTCAACAAACATCAAGCTTCTCGACCTGAACATACGTGAAAACCTGAGTGAACGATCACGGTGCGCGATGATCGTCTGATGTTCATGAACCTTAGTGATAACCTTGATCTTCCTCTTAGTCTGCAGGATGTTCTGGGAAGAGTTAAAAAGAAAACTGGAATTCTCTAAAATAGAGCCTCTGACAGTCACACGGTTTACTCGAGGATAGGACCGCAACATCAAGGTCATCCAAGACACTTCGCGTAACGCTCACTAACTCTGCAGATGTGGAGGATGTCGTACTGGCTAGTCACTTACTGAAATCAGATGAGAATGTAAGAATACTGCCTGATATATCGTTTTCTGGGCAGCCTGATCCGGGACATTCCTAAGGAATATCGTGAGAAGTTTGTTCGCGAAAGAAATATCATCGTGAAGATGTGCCAGAAAACACGGGCCTCGACCACACAAACTCTGATATTCGAAAACGGAAAATCATCAAACAATCCTTGAGACTCAAAAACACATTCACTCGACAAGTGGTGAGACTAGTCAAAAGGTCGGTGATTTAAAACCCGGCTGATGAAGATAACCTTCCATCCTCCCATATGGCGGCTGCAACTACAGAAGCATTTCATGCCCACAAACTCAGGTCGCCAACTGGAATCCATTCACACCCAAATAGACACGCATGCGACAATGGCATAAAATACACACAAAATGTTTGATGCTTTAAAATGTGGGTGAAACTGTACCTTATAGCGTGTGGAAAAAGCTAGACTAGGGATAGCTGTAGTTTATTATTCAGATTCTGGAGCAGAATATTTGGAGCTCAAGATTCTAATCTAAGCACTCCAACCCTTTAACATTCGACACAGAATAATAAGAAATAAAGTGGCTACGCAAACTAAGGAAGCGAATAGTTACTTGAGCCACAATGTTTTGACATCACCCAGATGTTTCGGCCTTCTCTTATCCACACAACTCAAGTTGTTTAGGACCCTCACGCCTCTTTAGTTATACTGATTTCAACTAAGATAAAATCCCTTTTTCAAATATACACAGGTCAAATCATTTGAACACGAAGAACCAATCTGCTGTTTACACAAAACAAGTAGATTCGAAAAGGATTTTTGATTGCTAGTGACAAGCACTCGGTTCTACGTTGAAGTCTGTTTTTTCTGAGATATTGATAATCCAGAAGAAAATAAAAAAATGCAAACATCTTCGTTTCGAGTAGACCTTAAAATAGGGCTTCACTTGAAAAGTAATGCCGTTGTGAACCTGTCAAAAGTTGTATTCATAACTTAACTTGGTTAAATTCATCACCAGCAATCTGTGATTGTTGCCTCTAATAACCTAGTTAATAACCGCTGATCCAGAGGGCGTTCACTGACCAGGAGCAATCATATTATAAATTAAAAGGTAATAAAAATTCTCAAAATACGCGTACGGACATCGTCGTACATCGTCGTGATGTATATGCCATACGACAGTGACAGGAACGTACCTACAAAATGAGTGAAGTGTTTAACTGTTGATGAGATTTTTCCATCGAAATACTAGCTTGTAGTCTGGAGAGAGTCATCCGAAATCGCGTGTTACCTAAGACTTTAGTGAATGAGCGGAAGGACTCAGTTCAGAACTAGCGTCTGCGGCTTGTAGTATTGGCAGAAGAGCGACCGTAGTTTGAAAATTGTCGTTCGATAAAGTTATAGGCCACAAATTCGGAAACATTTTTCATATATATGACTTCTGATTATCATTTAAAACGGTACACACGTAGAATTATGGTCTACTATGATATTAGCACTGCTCTAATAATAAACCTAATCCTAAAATTATAGATTTGTTGTGACGTAACTGCCAAATCTGTAAGATCTTACGTGGAAAACACATCATCATCTACACCAACTCACTGAATAGTAACAATTGCCAATACATGATAGAGAACAATCTTAGGCTAAAGATGGAACAATATATTTAATATAAATAAAAGATATAAGGTAACATTTAGCAGGGACCACGTGTGCATGGCCGAGCCATACTATGCGATCAACTCCAATTTATTTAATTCATCATTCCCGCCTTCTCTATTCTTCTGTAGTTCTCCGCGTTAAATGTTGAATGTCTATTCACCATATTGTTTCGTGGTAGGGCCCAACGCCACTACACACATACGTCCAGCTATATGACTATTCGTTTGATTCTATTAAGGGTGAAACCAAATGAAGGCGGACATGGTTGAAGCAAGCATCATGAGGTCTACCATGTTATGTTAGATATTTTGTAGCTAACGAAATAGTTCTGATAAGAGCTTGATGATTGTTCAAACAGCCGGCTCGGATAACTTGTACCCTGCATTGGAGAAAATAAATTTTCGGCACGATTGGACGATCTCTTACTGCAGAGATTTCACAAAGTAGGATCTCCTGACGTGTCTACATCTGTTTGAATCCTGGTGTCAGGGTTGTCAACGACAGTTCATGCTGAGGATCAGTATCTTTTTTTGAAGAGACCATCGACTATATTGTTTGATTCAACAACATGTTATGTATTTGAAATATATTCTTAAATGTTAACGATTCTCAAAATTCTAGAGGAAATATATGAATGCATCGATTTTGTGGTGGGATAAAAGACAATTTTATTGCCATGTTGTATATAAAACTATGAAATGTTGGTGGCTGTAAGCGCGGCGTTTGTAGATTACGTTACTGTTGTTAGACTTGCTCATTGATTTTCCTTGTTAATGTTATCAGATGAAATTGCTTAATTTCATGACAACATACTTATTGTTTGCAACTTAGAGTACTGCACACTTTAACCTGAGGTTTCATCTTACAAACAGAGTTGGTAGGCAACGTGTTATATAATTGTTTAGAACATACTGAATCGTCGTTGAGATGTCAAATAAACGTTATTTTGTAAATTTTACCTGTTATATCTTCCCATTTTTAAATGGTTGTAGACGGTACAAAGTTATACTCCACGACTGAAGCATACTGTCTCACCAACCGTAGAATTTTTAAGCCTTTTAAAAATTGACACTTAGTTATAGAAAAATTTTAAGCACTGAGGCTGGGAAATTACAGTGTAGAAAAAGGTTCGACATATCCGGTGAATTATTAAACATAATCGGAAGTATTAGGGCTTGGAGATTAGGGTAAGATATATCATAATCTAGTGTTAGGGGTTGAGAATAATAATATGGTTAAGCTTAGAGGATGTTCGGTAGACATATCACTCAAAATCGACAGATATAATCCCCTGTTTTTAAATCTCAAGAATCTTGGACCGAAATTCCACATATTTTTCGGACTTATTTATATCTCTTCCTCTCACCATCATTTTAAGAATTAAGCAAGTACAAGACTTTTCGTTACCTGTGTAAATCAAGATTTGGGGTAATGAACTTCTGAGATTTTTATTTTCTCTCCCTTAAGTAGTTCTTTAATCTGCAAATGTACGTGTTCTCTGAAATTTCACAGCCTATGTATTTCCCGTATCTAGGTTTTTAACACGTGTCGCAACTCGATCCAACCTATTTTCGATTTTATTCCTATTTATAAGCTATGATTTAGAACAGGATGTAATTTTCCGACGATATCTTTCAAATAGGTTTCCGTATTTATCAATTTGTAGAACTTAATGATACGAACAAATTGTTTGTCCATTTAGATGGTAGCATATGTGATTGTCATTTGTGCTCTTTTCAGGCCTCGGGATCGCATCCTGATCGACCGTGGTGAGACCAATTTATGGGTGACCTTTGAGCGATGCTAAAGTGACTTTGAACATGTCCACCTACTATATGGGACTAAATGAGTCATGAACCATAGTGAGGAATTAGGATTATAATTTACGGTTGGTGGTTTGAGTCAGGAATTAGACTTAGGGTTTTTGTCACAAAATGACACCATCTAAAATCTCTATTTAACCAAATAGATGACTGAATTTCGCACCAGATATCCTATATCTGATTGGTTTGCCCATAAATTATAGTCTCGTTCCGACCGTAATTTTACCGATTTCATGTATCAGGAAATGCATTTTGCGATTTCAGTCTGGACCTATCTTTCGTGTCCTTAAGTTCTGCCGAAACGACATCTGTAACTTCATTTCTTTCTTGTGCAACCCTAGTGATTTTAATCAATGGCTGCGGTTAGGTACATATTGACAAATTTTATACTTCAGTTTCATGTGTGTATGCGGAGAGTTGGCTGGGTATTAATGGTGCCTTTGTTCAGTTTAGTTTACAAATCATTCTGAAAAATAAGTATGTTCGTCTGACTCCTTGTTATTATTGGGAATAATCAAATATGTCATTATCCATGTTTCATCTAAATATAAAAATAATAGTATGTCTACGGCTATAACAACCACGTAAAAGTTCTCCGAAAAAAACTGAGTTATTACCTATCCTCTTGGTTGTGTCAATAATCAGGTCAAGTTTTATGTTTGTAGGTCGATTATTCTAACTTTGGTTGGCTAAATAACAGAACGTATTCAAAATCTTTCATGTTTAGATATTTTTTAGAATGACTTATTCGTTTAGTTAATTCGTCCGTAACAAAAGTATACACTACTGTTTTACAGCGGAGCACATTTACATAGTGAAATATATCCAACTTTTTGGGTTATAACACTGTGTAGTTTGATTTTCTATACAAATTTGTGAAATTGTTTATTGGGAAGTCATTCTAATATCATCATCCATTGTGTCACTTGAATACCATTTTAATGATTAAACAGAATTTGTTTGTTTAATTAATATGACTTAAAAGCTATATGGTATGTAAATACACAGAAGCCAGCCATCATGAAAATATTTGATTAAGGATAATGCAAAACGTTAATCAGAAACTTCTTAAGTACCATGTTCCACAGAAAATCTGAATTTTACGGGAAATACAGAATCAGAAGCTTTTTAAATAATTCATCTTAGTAAGCTGGAAATCTAACTACTCATACAAAAACAGTATAATCTGTATAAGTATCGGTAAATTTATGAGTGTAATGTATAATCTAGAAGGACCTGACATCCATACGTTGTAATTCGTAGTAAAAAGCTTTGAGGGTCGATTGTAATAGGGTCAACCTTTTGGCTAATTCATGTGTGGAAATGCATCCTACTATATTACTACTACATTGTACTGGATAGGTATACTGTGAGAAGTTTATTGACATATTCAGAACTATTATGATTTTGATTGTACTGAAAATATTCCTGATTGTTTCCTTTGTGCTATTTAAACCTGTGTTAATTTTATTCAGTTATTTATTTACTCTGAAGATGCGGCTTACATTAAGTCACAAAACGTCGAAAATACAATTTTCTACTCATTGGAATATAACAAAAAGGATGTTTTCCGTTAACTTTCCACCCAATGATCAGTTTATTTGAAACTGTCAAATCCAATCTTGGCATTGATACTTACAGTGAAAAGTTTGTTTAAATAGTGTTGTTGGATTTGCATTATTAGTTGTACCCATCTCTATCTATAAATGCTACTGAGGCATTTTTCGCTACAATATAATATAAGGTTTTTAGTTTCGAAGGTGATATTCTATTTCATGCTTTCGCCCAAACAATACTTCAGATAATTTAGAGTAGTTTTAAATGTCAAGTTTCGATTGGTATCTGACCGCATTTACCACTTAATTCATTTGGCGTTTCTTTTTATTGCAGCCAAATGTTCTCCTCAGATTATGATGGTTGTGAGTCTGACAGTAGTTCATCCAGGTAATTTATGACCACCAATCATCATTTGTGTCATTTTATTTCGTTAAAGTGATTTATGTTATGACAACAGAAGTGTCAATGCAATCGAGATCTCTAAAGCTAAAGCTATGGAGTTTGATGAATTAATGAACAAAGAACTTGATTTACTGATCAGAAATATCCACCAAAAAGCAACGGATTTGAAAACAGAAAAAAAGCGAAATAAAAATCTCAGAGTGAGATTTAAAAAGGATCATGACGATGATGGTATGTTTTACTGCTTATTAATGATTTGTTTTCAATACATAAAGATGACTTTCCAGTAGATAAAGATCCACTTTGCGACTATGAAGAAGATGAGGCTAATGCTAAATGGGTGCAAGAAAATCTTCCTGGTGGGAAGAGCAAGAAATCTGATGCCATCCTTAACTGTCCTGGATGTATGTCTGTGTTATCTCTGGTTAGTCATAGGTAAGTTCTGGCGTTATTTGAGACGAAATATGTGTTATAGTTCTATGCTATTAGGTATCTTGTAACGACTGGGAATAATTGAAATCTACCTTAAACTTCATGTGATTAAGTGACGATATACTTGCATAGGTAGATGTCTGGTTTTGATTTTAGATATGTAGGTACCCACAGTATTATTAAACCCTAACTAGAAATTGTGCATACAGGATAAAGAATTTTAGCTCCTTAAATACATTACTAGCTTGGATAATACCACATGTTTCGTCATAAATTTAAATAATCAGTGGGAAAGCATTAATCCTTTATGGGTTTTCAAACAGCTATTTTCAGAACATAATTAATGAGGTATTTGCGAAAAAGCGCGACTTTGTATCTAGTATTCCGTTCATTTATGGTCGCTCATATTCATGTCTTCATTAACATTTACTCGATGATTTGGTGCATAACAATTAATCTTTGGGTACTTATGGTTTATAACTCACCGTCTCCTTACATCTTCGTGGTAGGCTAAACGGATTAAGCAATTTAAATCGCAGTAATATAATAAGGAATATGATTAGACATATCTCATTATAACATGATACTTGAATAATATTAAAGCGTGATGAGTCCTTCTATATTATTACTCTGAAATTTTGTTCTTGATTAGCAACATGTAGGAGGAAAGAAATTTTAAATTATGTATGGTTTTCTAATTTCAGGCACCCACATTTCAAGACACAATATTATACAGAATACCCTATCAATTGTATTGTGGACGAAACACAAATTATATCTCGAACAATATCAAAACCACATAGTGCGAAAAAATCTTCAGAAAACAGTTTAGAATCAAACCGGAATGTCATGAAAGAATATCACCCGGTCACTTGTAAAGTGTGCGGTAATTCAGTTGGATGTAAGGAAATCCAGACCAATATGATCTATTTCAATGACATACTTGCAAGTCATAGTTAACCGAAGGGATTTTTTGCACGGGATAAGTTGTATGGCTACTTATTAATACTAAGTAGCTTGTTCCGAGTAACATCAATTCATGGATAAGGACTTTTTGTGAACTTTATTTCACTGTACATAAATAATTTACTTTTTTTATCTCGGAAATTAATAAAATCTCAGGAAAAAGTATTTCATAATTTTTTTTCCTCCAGAATACCTAAAATAAGAATCCAGAAACTGTCAGCTTATTCCAGTTCATTAATTTAGTCTTTTACCATGTCATGTAATTCACATTGTAGTCGAATTGTTTGTTTTTCATGATGAGGAAAATCTAATAAGTTTTTTTTCATAAAAAGTAGGCGCTTTGAACATTTCAGGCCTCAAAATAATAGTTGTTGCTGTCGTGAAATTTCATACAAATGTTGCATCTGTCTACATGTAAACGTTAAATTTAGAATATAATTGCAAGTGAAGGTTATTATTTTCTGTTAATGGCCATCTAATTGCATTTTCCACTATGATTTACGTACATTGACAACTCAATTCTAAAACTATAGTCATCATAACCAATATATAACTGATTGTATTAAATTTATTATGAATTCTACTGGGTTTTGACCAATAAAGCCTCTATACAGCAACAGGACGTCTTACTCCAGTTAGTGGGGCATGGAAGAAGACAATAAAAATAGTTTCATTCACCGTATTGAAGAAGGAATCGTGAAGTCGTAGCTTAGGACACAAATGTATTAACTAGTGACGAGGTTGATAAAAAGTTAATTATACACCCGAACTTAATGGCTTATATAAGGACAAACGAGATAAATCCTAACAGTGCTCATACTACTGTGAAGAGATGCTGTTATCACGTGTCGAAAACAGACGGAATCAAACATTCATATACACCCGAGAAGTAACAGATAAGCGAAAAATATGTACAACGTGACTCCTATCGAGAAGAAAGCAGATCTCAAATGACTTCTGTTTTAAAGAATTGGGATTTAGTGTTGCGTGAATTATATAAATGTGCTAGAATCGTCCTCATGTATTGCAATCAAATTATTCGTCATAATAATGGATGCACGCAAGTTTCCCAGGGAAACGACAAAAAAAGGATGTAACCTACCGAATGGAACAAATGTGGAAAAATCTTAATAAAGGTTAATTAATCATCATCGATGATTCATTTAAATATATAAGACCGTCTAGTTCAACGATTCCACGTATGTATGGACCGCCAAAATTACACAAGCAAAATGTTTTTCTTTGTTCTTTACTGAATACAAATAACTCCCTATACCATGCAACTGCCAACTGAATTGTGCGAATTCCTTAAATATCTGGAAATCAGATCAATAAACATAGCGCCAACAATTATTTTACTTCTACAGATACCAATGTATTTGAAAAAAGAATGACTTCACTAAATGTTGACTCACTTTCACAAATATTCCTCTTACACGAGGACGACCTGTTCTCTGTGAATAGATTGCAAATGATAATATTGGGATTCCAAAATAATATCTAAAGAAATTGCTGTTACACTACACTATGAATTTACAATTCGGATTTAATCATGAGTTACACAGAAAAATGTGTGTGGCAGTAAGGTCGCTACTGGGTCTTCTCTTCGCAGAATGCATAATAGTTAATCTGGAAAATACCATCTTTCGATCAACAGTTAGTGATTTTTATTTTTACGAGATATATATATATATAGGTGATATCTTCATTATCTGTGACGAGAGTTGGGATCTTAACAGAATTCTACATGTACAACCGGAAAATTACTCTCACAATGGAGTTAGAGTTGAGCACAGAATTTTACTTCCTCGATGTTCTTATGAAAAGGAGGCCGGATTAGTCTCTTGCAAAGACCAGTGTATAGAAGAACAACATGAGACGGACAGCATACAAACTTCTAGATTTGGATTTCACTAAGCAGAAAGATAAACCTACTACATTACGTTCGCACAGAGGGCACATTCAGTAAAAAACTAAACAGAATAGGAAATGCTCATAAAAACGGATTGTGTCAGATTCATTTACAAATAACTGAAACGAGAGCCCTAAATAAACAGAAGAAATAGTAGTAAAGAAGATTTTGTTCTTATATATTAAGCTTAAAGGGAGGGAGTATAGTTGCAGTGATTTTAAGAAATCATTGTCAAGATTATTGAGTGAGATACTCGATTAAACTGAACTACGGATTGTATTCTGCAGTAAGTAACTAATTCAAGGATGAACCGTCGCTTTGGTTACCTCGGTGTGCATCTGTCAGTTTATTTGCTTGTATGGAATATGTTGTTATTAACTCGAACATGTATCCTCTTTCCAAAAGCATATCTGAACACTACGGAGCATGGTTATCAAAAGGTGAATGCAAACCAGCTAATATTTCCATTTTTAAACCGTTTCAATTCTAAATGATTCGTGAAGTCAAGAGAACTGGTTATAAGAGCATTCGGTTGAAAAATCTGTGTATAGCAGAGGGTTTAACAGTTCGTCAATTCAATTTGGTCTTTGTGATCAAAAGTGGTAAATCTAATCCCTTATTTAGCGATAATCCTAACACCTTATTTTAAATAGTTGTGTATTCGTCTCATTTCTCTATATATTCGCCAAGTGAACACTTACCTTTCACACCTCTTTTCTATATAGTTTTCGTTGTTATTACTCTTTTAAGATTTTTGATCAACTCTTCGTACCTGTGCTAATGACTCAACAGTTTTAAATTGTATTATATATTACTGTGTAAAATAACTGTAAATGCGATTGTACAACTTGAGGAAATAACATCGTCAACAAAAATTTCTCCTCCGAACTGTTTTTATTTTATCCAGTTGCTATTACATAGTAGTGCCAAACTGTGAATACAAGACTAGTTGGATTCAGAAATAAGTAGGGGTAGGGTCTTGAATGATGCAGCTTATCGCATCCATTTATCACGAAATTCAAACCAGTCTCCTGACGTAGATCCTATTTATGAGTGTAGTTCTACGAATCACGTTATTATCAAAGTCATAAGTAATTTTTTTACTTTTTTGTAAATTAAAAAAAGGCGAAAGTTACTACTATGGAATATAATGAGTTCGAATATTTTCACTGACATTTTAACTGATTACAGTAAAATCTATTTATTCAGAAGTATTTCCTGACGAGAGTGATTTGGCTTAGTAGACGCAAACGAAAATCTATAGAATAATCTCGGAACACGATTTATATAAATTGTTTGATATCATTTGTAAAAGTAAACGATATCTATCCATAGGCATATGCCTTTGTCTACTTACCACCACTCAAGCTCTAGCTATCTTCAATTCTAAGCTAATTCTGCGTCTACATTAAGTAGGTTTTAAGA